AAAGTGCTAGAAAAGAGAGAGTCAATAGTTTCTGTTACACCATCAAGTTTTTCTGAGCTATTGGATATGTTGAGGAATTGAGACAAGTCAGGAAGATTATTTACAAAAGGTTTTTTTTCTACCATATTTGTAGCAAGGAGTTGAATTTGCATCTTTAACTATGGAGTATTCTCGAGACTAGATCTGAGAAATCATCGCTCTGCTGCAGAATTTCAATGCCATTGACATCAATTCATTGTGATAGTATTAAATCTAAAGTATGATTATGACAATGAGTAGGCCTTGACACGTGTTGTCTAACCCCAATGGAGTTTTGAATGTCTAGAAATGCTGATCCCAATGCATCTTTTTCATTATCTACATGGATATTAAAATCACCAACAATTAAGATTTTATCTGCAACGAGCACTAACTCCGATAGAAAATCAGCAAATTCTTTGATAAAGTCTGTATGGTGGCCTGTATACAGTAGCCAGTACAAACGTCACGTGATTTATCATTAAAACTTGTTTCTCTGGGTAATGTTATATAAAGCACCATTACTTCAAACAAATTACTGAACAAATTCTGAAAATATTGCTATAAATTGTAGCAACACCTCCTCCTTTACCTTTTGGACACGGCTCATGTTTATAACAGTTATCTTGGGGGGTAGACTCATTTAAAATAATGTAATCATCTGGTTTTAGCCAGATTTCTGTCAAACAGAGCACATCTAAGTTATGATCTGTGATAATATCATTTACAAAAAGTGCTTTTGTAGAAAGGGACCTGATATTCATTAAGCCAAGTGTATCATCTGTTTATCTGTATTATATCTGTTTTTTATTTGTTGAACATCAGTTAAATTGTTACCCTTAAATTTGTTTGGACGTTTTTTGTATTTGCTAGTTTGGGGAACAGACACAGTCTCTTTAGTATGATATAGGTGAAAGAGTCTCTATGTGTAGAGAATTAACTGACTTCTGTGACGTGAAGCGGCTAGCAGACGGTCGGTTTAGCCAGTCTGTCTGCTTCCTGACCTGGGCCCCAGTTAGTCAAGTACAAACTCTAACACTATGTGCCATATTTCTAGAGAGAAGAGCGGCACCACCCCAGGAGGGATGAAGACCATCTCTTTTCAACAGGTCAGGTCTGACCCAAAAACTCATCCAATTGTCTGTGAAACCTATGTGTGTATATCTAAGGCCCTCACATTCTTACTATTCTTACTACTACTTCTCTCCAGTTCTGAGACCTTCTCTGTCAGCCTAACTATTTCCCTGCATTTATCACATGTAAATCCCTCACTGATGACAGAGAAGTCTACACCAAACATGTGGCAAGCAGTGCAAGTGACAATAACAGAAGAAGAAGCCATTACTCACCATGATTGCTGAATGATTCCGACTTACCACAGTTGTTTGATGAACTCGTGAAAAATGGAGCGAGAGAGAGAAAAGATACAGTAGGCGGGAATGACAAGCTAACTGAATGCTAACATGCTGCGCTAGCAGTTTAGATTAAAAGGAGAACGATCATAGGTGGAAATCCCAGGGGGGTCGGGGGGGACAGGACCCCCCACCCCTATCTGAGGGTTGTCCCCCCTAACAATATGATTAAAAACCACGCTGTTTATTGTAAATAACAATGTTTTATACTTTAAATAACTTTGTAAGTATTAAAACAACGCAAATGTGGCAAAAATGTGTTTTAAGTTTAGAAATATTTTTAGTCTCACCCTCCCTTGCCTTCAAAGTGCTTTGGTCCAAATGCCTGATTTCCTCTTTTACATTACCTCAGTTGCCAAGTCTGTGGTTTTCCCGCGGAACTGGGCTACTTTAACACTGTTGCCATGGGTTGAAGCGACTCCAAAACCATGATATTTATCCCCTGGAATGCGAATTAACTCTAACACTATGTGCCATATTTCTAGAGAGAAGAGCGGCACCACCCCAGGAGGGATGAAGACCATCTCTTTTCAACAGGTCAGGTCTGACCCAAAAACTCATCCAATTGTCTGTGAAACCTATGTGTGTATATCTAAGGCCCTCACATTCTTACTATTCTTACTACTACTTCTCTCCAGTTCTGAGACCTTCTCTGTCAGCCTAACTATTTCCCTGCATTTATCACATGTAAATCCCTCACTGATGACAGAGAAGTCTACACCAAACATGTGGCAAGCAGTGCAAGTGACAATAACAGAAGAAGAAGCCATTACTCACCATGATTGCTGAATGATTCCGACTTACCACAGTTGTTTGATGAACTCGTGAAAAATGGAGCGAGAGAGAGAAAAGATACAGTAGGCGGGAATGACAAGCTAACTGAATGCTAACATGCTGCGCTAGCAGTTTAGATTAAAAGGAGAACGATCATAGGTGGAAATCCCAGGGGGGTCGGGGGGGACAGGACCCCCCACCCCTATCTGAGGGTTGTCCCCCCTAACAATATGATTAAAAACCACGCTGTTTATTGTAAATAACAATGTTTTATACTTTAAATAACTTTGTAAGTATTAAAACAACGCAAATGTGGCAAAAATGTGTTTTAAGTTTAGAAATATTTTTAGTCTCACCCTCCCTTGCCTTCAAAGTGCTTTGGTCCAAATGCCTGATTTCCTCTTTTACATTACCTCAGTTGCCAAGTCTGTGGTTTTCCCGCGGAACTGGGCTACTTTAACACTGTTGCCATGGGTTGAAGCGACCCCAATAACGTGATATGAATGTGAATTTTACCGGAGGAACCCCACCGAAAAACGTGTATTTTACCCCCGTAATGCGATTGGGCTAGTTTTGGGCTAGTTTTGAGTAGCAATTGGGGGGGTTTTGTTGCGAAAACCTGGCAACCCTGTATCACCTACACACACACACACACACCGTCCGGTGAACGAGAACAAAGTCAATAGTTTTGGAACTCGACTGTCAAGGCTATTTTATTCACTTAAACATTGGATATAGTGATTATTTCTCTTTAATACAGATAGCCAATGTATTTTTCGATTAGTCTTCTATGTTAGCAATAATAACGTTACCTGCTTGACGGATAGTAATGTCTACAACGGACACGAGCGCTGTCGCAGCGCGACCACAACAGCTTGAAGTAGTCTAATTTGGCACGGTCTCCCTACTTCACTAATAGTAGTAAGGCTGTGTGTACTTGTCCTTAAAGGGATAGTTCACCCAAAAATGAAAATTCTGTCATTATTTACTCACTCTCATGTCATTCTAAACCGGTAAGACCTCCGTTCATCTTTGGAACACAAATTAAGATATTTTGATAGAATCTGAGAGCTCTCTGACCCTCCCATAGACAGCAAGGGTCCTTATACGATCAAGGTCCAGAAATGTTGCAAGGACATCGGTAAAATAATCCATGTAATATCAGGGGTTCAACCGTAATTTTACGAAGCTACGAGAATACTTTTTGAGCACAAAAGAAAAAAAATTACGACTTTAATTAAACAATTTGTCTCCTCCGCATCACCCTAGCGCCATTTTGGAGAGTATCTACTGAACGTAAATTGCGTATGCTATTTTGTGTCAGCTGTGCCACGCGGATACGTTGTTTTCGTTCAAATCAATGTGTAAACGACATAAACAGTATATCCGCGTGGCACAGCTGACACAAAACAGCATACGCAATAAATAAAGTCGTGATTTTTTTTTTCCCTTTGCACTCAAAAAGTATTCTCGTAGCTTCGTAAAATTACGGTTGAACCCCTGATGTCACATGGATTATTTTATCAATGTCCTTGCTACATTTCTGGGCCTTGATCGTGTCAGGACCCTTGCTGTCTATGGGAGGGTCAGAGAGCTCTCAGTTCCATCAAAAATATCTTAATTTGTGTTCTGAAGATGAGCAGAGATCTTACGGGTTTGGAACAACATGAGGGTGAGTAATTAATGAAAAAATTTTCATTTTTTAGTGAACTATCCCTTTAAGTTACAAGTACAAGTTTAGCTATATTATTTGTGTCCCCTTCAAAAATTGCTCTTGATAAATTTTATGTTTATTGTTCCCCCCCAACAATAAACAACTTCAGTGCTATTCTTTTTGCTGCCTTGCTAAATCAACTGTTTTTGTTCTGGAAATGTAAGTAGATTCGTTTTACAGTCCAATCCACAAGGAGGTGGATTTTGGCACATGTTTTTGGTTGACGCTTTTTTGCCACTGGAGGGAGCAGTTTTGATTAAAACCATATTGTATTGGTTAAACCATACAGTAACCAGAAGGCTCAAGTAATCATGTAAAGTTTGCTTGAGCCGGAGGATGTGTGTTTGGAGCAGCAGTTGTGTTCAGTGATGATTTCTTTGATTTGATGTTATTTGTTTTTATTTATTTGATTGTATTTGTAATTTGTTTTTATTTATTTATTTACTGTCTTGTTTATCAGCAATGAACAGTTCTCATTGTGATTTCCAGTGCAGTTTGTTTTCTACTTAATTGAATCATTCGCAGAATGGTGTTTCAGTATACAGTGCTGATGAAGGCAGTCACTGGTGCCAACTTCTGTCATTTCAGTAACTCTTATTTATACCACAAAAGTCTCTTTCCATGTCCTTCTCTTCCCCTTCTCTGTCTTACGGACCACATTAACTTCTTGGCCTCAGTCCAGGAGAGTGTTAAAGGAATATCTGGGTTATTTTAACTTGATGTCTATGGACCGCGTCTGTGGTGTTCCGTCATTTACTATGGACTGTCATTTATAATTTTGGCAGATGCTTAATGCATAAAAATCAAATCCAAAGTGCTTACATTGCATTCAACCTATACATTTTATCAGTACATGCATTCCCTGGAAATCGATCCCACGACCTTGGTGTTGCTAGCGCTAAGGTGAATGACAATGCATTTACATGAATCCACCTAGAATAGCCTTGAAAGACCAATTTAAATAACATTCAATGAATAGTTTTGAATAATTTTTATCTTGTTGATTATTTTCAGGCCTTAGAAATTTGTGTATTGAAAACAATACAGTTAGCTTTATAGGGTTAAGTAACTTTCTGCTGACTAGTCTTCCTTTAAAGACCAAATGTAAATAATTAATTTATAATTAAATATGAAATGCTGATTATTAATATATTTTCATTCTGTTCGACACCAAAGTGACCGGTTGCAAAAGTTTAATGCATATTAAATTATTAGCTTAACAACATGTAAAAGTCAAACTCTATAATAATGTAAGTGGAGTATCTTATGCACATCAGCTGAAGAGAATTTATTTGTATGATGCTCAGAGTTGCTGTCTATGTAGAGTGTTCTAAATCACTTATTAGGTTACGTCAGGATGCTTAAGTAGGCAGCAGACAGTAGGGCAGTTCGCTAGGTGTTGGAACAGAGCCTTACAGTCAGTGTAATGAGCGTTTTAATGGGCTGTCACACATGTGCAAGCACTAAAAATGTGATTCACCAGAAGTCTTACACTTTTCCAGAGAACCACTAATGAGGATTTATACTACAGAAATTTCATGGTCTCTCGGTTTCTCTATTGTACCTCTGAGTTTTCTGTGCAACAATTTTTTTAATTATCTCGGGCCATAGAGAATAGTCTCTGGAGTGATGCCGATCACATAACAGCTGAACAGCATGCCGTGTGTGTGTGTGTGTGTGAACACTCCAGAGTTAATGATGCATCGCGTCTGCGCGTCTGCAGGGGACACAGGCTGAAAGTAGAAAAATTTCATACTGATTAAAGCAATAAGCC